AATCCCACATAGTATTGGAAACACTATTGGGAATGGTATTTAAGGCTTGGCTTTCCCACTTCCTTGTTGAGTGATAGAGAACAAGGGGGACTCTCGCGCGCCGCCGCCGCCGTCCGTCTCGTCTCGGGTCGGGTCGTGATAATATGTGTCTTCGACACGTCCGCGCAAATACTATCTTTTTAGAGAAAATTCTTAAGAAACAAATGCAATACAACCAGTCGTTGCGATTTTGAACTATCGCAATGCGATAGTCGACTATTGCAATGCGAACTTGGACTATCGCAATGCGAACTTGAACTATCGCAATGCGATAGTCGACTATCGCAATGCGAATATGTAAATCGCAATGCGATAGTCGACTATCGCATTGCGATTTACATATTCGCATTGCGATAGTCCAAGTTCACATTTTTGGTCAATGAGATTATTTTCTCTTAAAAATAACCCCTTTTACTAATATATCACATCATTTAACGTCTCAGTCTCAATAACCAAAACTTTATAAAATAATTATATAAGTGATCAAAATGTTATTGTTTTAAAAATTCGGTGAGTAAGAACATTTATGAAACACAGTGACTATTACAAACATTTACCCTTATTTCTAATTAAGTTGCACCATTTTGCAGCCCAAAATGATGTCCAAGAAGCAGATAGTACCCACAAATGTGTCTAAACCCAAGCTAGTGCTCAATTCAGCCAACCATGAAGCCCAAATTCTTACCCACCAGCCTTAGATCTTGTGTACAAGCCTACGACAAAATTTCAAGTTGGATCAATTTTTTAAAACAGCCCAATTCACAGTTTATTCGGCAGCCCAGTTATTTTGCTTAAACAGTGAAGAAAATTTAATAATTCACTAATATTTTATATATAATATGGATTGATTAAAAAATAGTATTTTAACCATTGACAATGTATATATACCCTACAAACATAATTGTTCGAACCCAAAATCTCAAGAGAGAAAACTCCCTTTAACCACTAACTGAATTGGTATCAAATTGACTTCTATAAGTATAGATAGTAAAACAAAGAACGGGTTAATCCAAATTACAATTAAGAAAAGAAAAGGGTGTTGAGGTTTGGTTTGGTTTGGCTTGATTGGAAGCTTCCATTCGGAATGAGACTGGGATAAGGTTGGAAGAGATGCATGCATTCACACCCTCATAAGTACATGACCAATAAGAAGCAAACACATGCATTTTGCAAACAAGGGACGGGGACCTCACACAAACCCACTTGTCCTTCCTACATCTTTCCCTTTCACTTTATTTAGTTATCATGGAGTGGTGATATATGCGGTTTGCTACTACAGGAACCATATATGCTAGTACTGTAACCCTAAAACAATAAACCATAAAAACAAATGAGAAAGGAGAGGACACTTAATTTTAAATAACTAGCAAATTAAGTAATTATGAACAACTTTGCTTTAGTGAAATATAGCAGCCCCTTGTTGTTCTGAAACTTTCCACTCGAAGCCAAAAAGAAAAGAGATAGGCAGATAGCTAGAGAAAGAGAGAGAAGAGAGACATGAGTTTCGCAGCTAAGCCAAACTCCAAACCCATCGCCAACAAAGAAAGCAGGGGCGCCATGGGTTTACTCCTGGTCTTCTTCCCCGAAGACCAAAATAAAATCGCCAACTCCATTCGCAGAACAAGCTCCGGTCTACTTCTCAGTAAAGCTTTATCTACCATCTTCCTCTGTGCTCTTTTCTTTCCCCTCACTCTTCTCCTCTTCACGCTCTCCACCTTTGAACCCTCCACTCGAACCTCACCAGCCATGGAAACCCCTCGTCGAATCTTGTCCCAAAAACCCCAACTTTCTTCTTCCCAATGGTTCTTTCCAATGTGGGGTCATAAATCCTTACAGTGCAATAAAAAACCCAGTGCTTCTTTCGCTTTACAAGGGATGGGAACTTTGTATAGGCGCGGCACGAAAGCCATGAACGACCTTGTTGTCGGCCATGTTATCGAAGATGTGAACGAAGATTATCTCAGGCTTTTCTTGCGAGTCTTGCATAGGTCGGGCGTCACTTCGAGAGCCGACACTGTTTTACTCTTCGGATCTTCTTCCTTATCTTCGAGATTCAGCTTTGTTATTGAGGAAGAGAACGAATCCTTCTTCAAACTTGTTCGACACTACAACGACTCGAGTGGTAGTAAGGGTTTACGTGACTCGGTCTTGAGTTTTGACTCGACCCAGTTCTGGAAATCTGGGAAGAAAGATGTGAAGGAGACTATTTGGGGAAAGAAGAGCCGAGGAAGTTATAGTAATTCAACTGAAGCTGAAGGTTGTGAGTCAACTCGGTTGACTTATGGCTCGGTTGTGGGGTTTGATGTGAATGGGTTGGATCCTGAGAACTCGCTGGCTGGGTTCCTAGATCACGTTCCGATGAGTTTGAGAAGATGGGCTTCTTACCCGATGTTATTGGGTAGGCTTCGGCGAAATTTCAAGCATGTAATGTTATCGGATGTTAAAAATTTAATGTTACTGAGTGACCCGCTTGGCCGTGTCAGGAATCGGAGCCCCGAGTCGGTTTATATATTAGCGAAGGAAAGAAGCTCCGGTAAGCATAACAAGCGGAACTCGGAGAAAACTCAGTCTCATCACCTGGTTAACTCGGGGATTTTGATGGGTGGAGCTAGGGGAATTCGAAGACTAAGCAATGCGATGCTGACGGAGATAGTCAGAGCTACAATGCAGCATAAGAAGAAGAGTTCCATTTCTTAGTCGGGAATTTTGAGTGAACTCGTCGGCAATGGACACATACTGAAGAACATAAATTTGATTACATCTACTGAGTCAATTCAGGAAGCCCAGTTCAGTTATGGGATTGAGTCCCAACTCAGTTTCAGATTATTCAATTATCCATCATGGTAATAGTAATTCCGTAATTATGAAGCTAATATGTTTAATTGAAGTGGAATCTTCTGTTTATAGGGATTGCTAGCAAAATAAAAGAAACTTTGGCTTTTCAGAAAATTTTAAAAAATGAATAATTTTTTTCATCTGTAAATTATTATTATTTCATTAAAACATAATTTATATGATACATTTAGATTGTAAAACTAAGTTTTAAGTAGATTCTTGTGGTCATGGGATTGTTCTGAGAAAAATATATATGAATTAGACTTTATAGAAAATAATATTCACTATATGTATGTTGAAGTTTTGTTATTCAATAAGTATACTGTATATATTTTCTATTTATTTTATAATTTATGTTTAAATTTTGGAATTATCGCTTCTAATAGTCACGTTTCGAAAGTTTGAAAATGAGTTGGACCTACACCCATCACTCTATTGTTATATTTCCTTTTCTTTTCTATTTGTAGAATTATATTACTCTAGATTTTGTTAAATAATTTTGTAATAATGTGGAAAACAAAACATGGTGGATGGTGAAGAAATGATGTTCAATTATATGCCCGGCTGGAAGAAGACAAGAAAGAGACAAATCTAGCATTGTATGTTCATATTATAATGGATTTTACTTTTTTTTAAAATATGTGAATTATTATTGAGTAAAGTATTAAAACGATCATTTTTAATTCATTTTTGGTCATTGATTTTAAAAGTTATGTTTTAATAATTTATATTATTGATTTATAATGTTTTGGTCATCGGGACGTTAAATATTTTTAGTTTTAATGGTGTGGCACGTTAGTGAAAGGGATTAATTTTTAATTTGATCATTGAACTTGAAATAAATATCAATTTAATCCTTGAATCTGACTAAAATCACCTACCCTCAGTTGTCACAGTGTCACTCGCCTCATTATCATTCATCGTCGACTGTTGGGCCTTAAATTTTACAAATCACTCTCATTTGACCTTCTGAACGTGAATGTGATATTTGTTTTATAAAAAAATATATCAAACTCTACAAATCAAGCATGGAACCCTTTGACTTCCTTTAAAATCAAACAACAATAATACATTTATCTTTGTGGTTTAATTTTAAAGGAAGTAAAAAGATCCTAGGCTAAATTTATAGAGTTTAAGGTATTTTTCGATGAACCAAAAATTAGATTTGTCAAATGGAAGTGATTTAGAAATTTTGGAGTCCAACAATTGTCAACGACGGTGACCAATAGTCACCAACGATGGCGGTGAGCGAAGGTCGTGGGTGGGAGACTTTGGTTGAATTCATAGAATAAATTAATATTTTATCTAATGATCAAAGGACAAATTGATATTCTAATGAAAGTTTAAAGGTTAAATTAATATTTTATCTAAAGTTCAATAGTCAAATTAAAAACGAACCTCTTTTATTGTCATATCACATCATTAAACTAATGATATTTAATGTCCCAATGATGAAAACGTTATAAATTGATAATGTAAGTTATCAAAAATGCTACTTTTTTTTAAACCAATAACTAAAATTGAACAGATATAAAGGAAAGCAACACTTTTAATAGTTCACCCATTATTATTTTTAGTTGATATTGGAATACGCTAATCCTTTTTAATCAAAATCTGATTTATATTGTCATTATTTTCAGACACAACTTTTAAAAATACCAATTATCCCTAAAAATATTATTATATGCTCAAAAAATCTTGTCCAAAGCACCAAAATGATGGTCTTATAATTCTGTTGGATTTATATCCTTTTTCTTTTCAAAATACACTAATGACAGGTTTCTCTTCCAAACATTAAATAATATTGTTCAAGGAGACGCTACCACAAAATGTAAACCTTTTAAAAATATCATAAAAATTCTATTTTTAACCCTAAATAGCTCAGCTAAAAATACCTAAATATCATTTTCTTTAAATAAAACAATTAAAACCCATTCAAATAAAAGAATTATATAAATATTTCTATTGCGTAAATGATTATGGTTGAATAACTTTCAAAATGTGTATAAAATATTTTCATTCACCAAGAAAAAAATTTAAAAAAGAAAAGAAAATAATCAATAAGCTTATCTATTCCAATCATCTCCCACAATCTATAATAAGAAGAATGTGAAAACAAAAGGTTCTCTCAAACAATGAATTTTCATTACTTATATTGGAGTTCAATACAAATGCAATATCATATACATCACCTTCCTTTAACAAATCAAAACAATGGAAAATAAAGTAAATGAGAGTTGAATAACAAACAATGATTATGGAGATACACGGCATACCAAGTGAAAGAATGCTGGCTTGTCATGCCAAAGCTGTCCTTGTCTACTATGTGTGTCACTATGAGAAGGTAGAAAAAATAAAATCCCCCAAAAATATCACTCTTTCAGACAACATCATATGATAAAATCTTGGATGCTAAGACATACCATTCCAGAAACCGTATACCATCGACAACACAATTTTCCAAACAGATTTTGAGATCAAAATAAATGACGGATTGCTAGTCAGAATGCAGATGAAGCACATAATCTCACTTGCTGGAATTCTTAGAATAGATCAACTTTCTTCTTCTTCAGGTCTTGCTTCCACTTTGGTAATCTATAGAATGCTTCTTTTTCCATACCGAAAACTGTCTGGAACTCCTCATCCGACAGGTAAGTCTGGGTAATCAAAGAGTAAGAACAATGTGTTCGGGGAAAGTAGATAAATAGTTAAAACATTGAAACATTGATGGCAGAACAAACCTCTCTCCGTTTGAGATCGATTCCGGTTACAGCATTACCAGATATGGCTTTCAGTTGCTCATAACTATATGTACCATTCTCATCCAGTTGTATCTTTTGCTTTGGTTCTGAATCCACCCCATTGGTTTCAGGTACTACACTTGTCTCCTTGGCTTCAGCAACCTCTTGAGAATCCTCAACTTCAGAAGGGTCTGCTTCACTTTTCGTTTCGGCTGTACAATCTCAATTATATGAAAAAAATGAGGTCAAATTCAATAAAGAAGCTAGCTTCAGCAACTTCTCGTGGGCCAGCTTAAAGCAATGGTTTCTGTTTTTTAGATATCTCTTATTCCAAAATACACGGGTTCTTACAAGGTGGGGTAGATACAGCAGGAGTGCTGCTAGCAGATTTTGCGGGGGATCCATCCTGCAGTTGCGTCTTCTTTTTCAGCAGTAAGAACTGCAGAAAGAGCAGCTACAGCTGCTGCCCTTTGCGAACCCTGACCTGTGCTGGAGGGCTTTGGAGCTGACTTTTTGCTTGCTGATGATGAATTGAATGCAGATGATAAGGCAGCTAGAGCTGATGCTCTTTGTGTAGGCCCACCATTATTTCCATTGGATCGAGCCTGAGACTGCAACAATGGCACATATCAAATCCTTAACTCATAAGCAGTGTAACAAATGCCTCGAATTCTCAAATAAAGGCACAGAAAATTAGCCATAATAATATACAAGAAAGCAAATAATACATAGGACATGTATCAAGGAAATGGAGGAGAAAGCATAAGGGTCAAATAAACTAGCTAAAGTTAAAATATACATGATTGGCGATACAGGCAGAACTGATGTTCAAACACATTAAAAAAAGAAGAAACTAATGTATTATCAGGCCGAAATTATCTGAGATGGAGAAAACAAAACTAAATTTTCAAAAAATACAACACAATGATAATAGGGAAAATTAAAGACTAAAAAAAATATAATCCAAACATTCTCTTTTCATTAACATCCAAAAGACAGTATGAAGCACCTTCTTGTTATTACTAGTAACCTATGCTTGCAACCCTTCTCTGATCCACTTGGTCTTTGCTGATTGATAAAACAAAGTTGATGAATCAACCCTCAAGATAATCAGAAGCCAATAAAGCATCAAATTAGAGTCCATCCCTAATTGAGTATGATGTGAACAACTAGACATCTTGCTTAGGCAATAAGGTTAATCAAACACCATGACTTTCTTTATAGTTCCTGAAAGTAAATGATAAAATGGTTCTCCTAGATTCCTGATAATATGGTGGATATGAAGTTTCACCATTCCCTAGTGTCAATTTTCAATACTAATGAATTAGTGTGTGCAATGTAGGCAAAACTGAAATCAAATTGCAGCAACCATTGTCATAACTCATTAGATAGAAATAAAGAAAAAGGAAAAGAAAAAGTAGTACAAGGGATAATTCAAAATGGTTCATTTTCTGAAGTGAAAACCTAATGTCAGATCGGCTTCAAGTAGCAGGTACATAACCATATCAGAGAAGAGAGGGTCGCAAAGTAGGGGCAGGTGAGGATGACATAACGTGATGACTTTAGATAAATTACCATTTGTAAAATAGGGCTTCAAGTGGAAGGTGCAGAACCATATCAAAGAATTAAACATAAGAATCAAATTGACAACATTTGAAGTTTTGAATGAAAGACGCCATAAAGCAAAAATGCTTTTCCCAGATTAGACAGCTAATAGTCTTGTTCAACCTTGATAAAAAAATCTGTTCAACTTACTAGACAGCTAATATAGATGAATTAACAGGTTCAACTTACTAACTCTTCAGTTTTATTAATTGAGACTTCAAAGTAGATACGGTAGAAAAAAAAGACAGAAAAGAGCTCAGGAAAAGTTAAGTCGTATAAGCAGTCGAAACTATACATACATATTGAGAGAGAGAGAATTCGCAGAAGATGGATTGAATGCAGAAGATAAGGCAGCTAAAGCTGAAGCTCTTTGAGTGGGACCCCCTTGGTTCCATTGGACTTGACCTGTCTCAGCAGAGCATGGAATCATCAGTCAGGAAAACTAGTACATATAGTAAATATAATTGTTTTTCCTTTTGAGAAAAGAGAGACCAAGGAATTATCATCTACAAACATGACATAGTATCACTTGTCCTTAATTTACCAATACAATCGTCACCCTCAAAAAAGCTAAAGGTCAGGTTCAAGGCTCCACTTTAGGAGCACCACTACTAATTTTCAGTCATAAAGCGTAATTAAATTCATCTTAAAACTTTCTTTACATGTCAACCAAGACACGCCATCTTTCTGAATTCTGTAGCGGTATGATTAATATAAAATGGTTCTTGAAATCGACAATGAATTAAAAACTAAACATTTTTTTAACCTGTTAAAAAAGCCATAATAAGATTAACAGGAAGCCAAAAAGAATTCAATAACCTCAGTTAGATTTTTTTATGATCCAAATTTCTCAGCACAGACAGAAACTTCAGCATTAAAATTTTACTTCATGAGAACTAAGGAAAAACTTGCCTCTACAGAATGACTAGCTCCAAAGAGCAATGCCACCTTTTTCTGGAATGAGTTCCTTCCACCTGTGTCAAGGAGCATATCTAAGTATAATATCAAACAGATAAAGTTGAATGCAATATATATGAAAGGATGAATAATGTCAGTCAAATCTCTGTTAATCCACCCTTGAAAACTAAAAAGGGTGTCATACGATATCAATTCAAGAATAGCTACGTATTATTTATTATCCAGGTACATTGCGAGTGACATCACATTATAATGCTGATATCAATTGGTATGCTTATTTTCCCTCATTTTACTATATTTAGTGCATAGGAAAATAAAACATGTGAAACAGGTACATCTGATGGCTAAAGGTGTGATTAAATGGTTATTTAGTTATACAGACTCTACATAAACTATTCAAACATTTTATCATTAGAAAACAATTGCATTGGTATTCAAACATTTCTGGTTGAAACCATACAGATTCTAAATATTCTCCCATTTTGAATCAACAAGCTGAAAATAGGAATGCTCATAATTTTTTGTTGATGAAGATGAAAATGATACAAAAATGATTTAACATTAATTGAAGTGACAGTAAATCAAAAGGATAAAAAAAATCCAGTCATGGACACATACAATAGCTCGGGTGGAATCCATGAAAAGAATGTGTGAAGAAGCAGGGTTCGTTTCCTTCAAAAACTTTGTAAAGTGGAACATTTGGGGACAAATCATCTAGAGACACGGCGAAGTCTACATATTTCTGCAAATAACTTCTAAAATGAATAACGTGTTTATTGGAAATATAAAAGAATGAAGGAATCAATGTTTTATTTATACCTGGCCAATTTCAAAAACATTTGCTTCTCTGGTGTCCACAGATTGACAACCCAAACAAACACTTCAGCATGTGTGTCAAGTATCAAATGTCTTCTGTCAAGAGATCATCATGAGTGAAATGTGAACTTCCTCAACCTGCACAGCGGAATGAAAATTTATACATAGAAGACACTTGGATGCCCGTAGGAACGACTGTAATTACATCATAAAAAAAACTCACCTCAAACTTTCCTGAGATGTCCATGTGGAAAAGACAAAATCATGGAAAGAACAGTTAGAATGGTAATAAGCTTCATTAACAACTGAAGCAAATCACACATCATAATAAGAAAAGACACCTTTATTAAGAGAGAAAGTGAACAAGTGGGGATCCCTGACAGTCTCTGTAGATGCCCTTTTGCTGGTAACTTTGTTTCCCCCCAAGTGCAGACCAGAAGGCATTGCTCTCCGTTCCTTCTTTAGCATGTTTAAGAGAAACCTCCAGGCTGAATGCAAAAGAATATGAATATATGAATGATTGAAATGGTTGAAGGAGTTGCTTGAAAGAACTAGATAGTGCAATTATTGACTTTTATCATTTAGGTGAAACCCATAACTAAAATGCCTTCTAGAAATATACATATGCAAGAGATGAAAAAAGCAACTAAATATTTAATTTTCAGTATTTTATCTTGTCTCACAAGTATTCAGAAGAATTCAAAAGGAGAAAGTTGCAAATACATAGGTACAATAAGCCGAATTCTGATCAAAGAAAAACTTAAATAGAACGCTAAAAAATTACTGTACATTACAAGAATTATCTTACCATTTGATTAGAACTGATATACAGCATATATTCCTGTTATTGCATTTTAGATGTAGTGATTAATTAGTCAACTCGAATTGGTGGAACTTAGATTCTAGACTGTAACTTGTATAAGGAATATACCTTCAGAAACTCTGCCACTTTTGCAGCTAATTGCTGCTGTCAAAAGTGCTTTGATTCCATGCCAAGTAAAAATTGAAGATCCAGATTGCAAGAGGAAACACTCAGTTGAGTTTAATGATGTTGCCACCTAAAAAAGATTTTTTTTTTGAAAAGAAAGCATTGATGTTAGGTTACGAAAGGAATGACAGTGCTGCACACAGCATGACAATAAACTGTTGGAATACAATCATCATCACAAATTTGATGTCAATAATTAGCTTGCATCTAATGAAGGGAGAATGAAGATGCATTTGTTCCCTTCTCTGCTTTTCAACATATAAATGTAAATAAGATACCTTAGCAGGGGAAAACAAATTTCTTTTATAGCACTAATGAACTAAAAGCCAAGGACATTATGAGTAAGCTTCATTGGCTAAATAAATAATGTCACATTATAATTAGTAAAATCATAGCAAAAGGATTTTTCTTCATTGCTTGAGAGAATAGCAGAAGGGATGGAAACTTCATAGACAAGATGAATACTATAATGCTTTTGATGCATCAAATTATGAATAATATATGCTTTTGGAAGTGTGATAGGAAGAGATTAATCTACTACTTCCAGAAATAAATGAAAAAAAATCTCAAATTATTTGAGATAGGCAAGATTGTTAAACTAGAAAAAAAAACAATGGGATATCTTTTTGATGCATCAAATTTTGTCGATGAAAGAAACTCATTGGGAAAAGAAGAGATAGAAACATTCAATTGTTTGCCTGTTAACTTGCCAAACTTTTAAAAGAAATTCCTCAAAATCAAACAGAGGTTCAACTATCAACTTGTCAGTGCAAATTGAAAAATGTGTTGCATCAAACAAGGTTCTACTTAATGGTGTCAACAGGTTAGGGTCTAAAATGTACTTGCATGCAAAAATAAATAACTAAACTGAACTAGTGATTTGTATGTAAGTTTTAAAGGGGGGGAAATTGACAAAATAACCAACTAATACATACAGCATTAACTTGCAGTGCTTTATTATTGTGCACAGCAGTTCCTGAAATCTGAATAGAGCAACACAATCTGCAGTATAGGTTTCATCTGTCAAGCCTTTGTCTTCTATCTTTTTACAACCAGTGCTTAGACCCCCTAGATAGGAATCGTTCATAGGAAAATTAGTCATACCATCCAATTCTAAACCAAGACCCTCAAGCAGTTCGAAATGAGATTCTAAATTTGAGGTTAAATTGAATACCTTAAGGACCACCATAGGTTGGAAAAGTGCAATGAACTGCGGTGGCTCTTTACCTTCAAACACTCGACCCTGCAAGAAGCATATATTAGCAACACAAGCATTAGAATCATGGTATTCAGCCAAAGGTTATATGATACCTTAACCGGCCTCCCCTTAAGCGAGTTAAACATTGTATTAGCCAACCGAGCAGTCATCTTTTGGTCCTCCTGATTTAAGAAATATGTATATTTTTAGCAATAACATAGCAGGAATGGACATCACCAGAAAAATGGTCCATCAATTTCACATGTAACTACAAAAGCATCTCTTTCTCTGTACGGAAACATGAGGAATGGAAAAAAGCGGGGCTCTGATATTGGAAGTGCTTTAATCTTGAAAAGAGACAAAAACTAATGATAATGAATTGGCAGCTAAAGAATCCAAATTTGGTGGAGATCCAACTTTACACATGTGCATGAAATTACAAAGGTGACTCTAAATTCCATGAGTGGTAGGCATTCATATTATTTAGTAATGACAAACAGCTCATATTGGCAGCACTCTAGTCCATACTTTTTTAACATCGAACTCCACTGTTTCACATTGCTATGTGACTGTAAGTTCTATCATGAACAGAGAGTAGAAGGAGAATGACTGAAAGGGCAAGGGCATATTGTGCAACTTACTTCATATCAACTAAGAAAAACATTTTACCTCAATGCTATCCTTTCCAATCCAACAGCATAGAAAGTAATCTTCTTTCCTCTCACCCCAGTGGTAGGTATAAAGCACAATGTAACAGTCTCCACTATAGAATTTACCAACATCCTCTTTTGGCAATGGTATCTTGGCACTGCCATTGATGCACCATACCTGAAAAATAAGCAACACTGTATTTGAGCGAAGAGACTTGGTCTTTTAAGTCAACTGGCAAAACCCAAGCAGACTATTTACTCGACCTCCATCTTTCCAGTGCCTTCAAGCAAAGGAGGAACTCTTCATTTACGGGAGCACTTTTGCTCATCCCTTGACACCAGCTCCTTGTTGCTTCAGCAAAGCTAGAAGTAGAAAAACACCATTCAATATTAACCACAAATATAAGTGTAATTTGCAACTTAGTAATTGATCCCTACCGGCTACTTTTCCTCTTCCCTCCTCAGCACCAGCAGTGTTGTCCCTGCAGGCCAAGAATCAAAGTTGGACTTGAATGAAATTTTTCATACCCTTGGATGACACGGGTAATGCGGGTTGTTTTGGTCTTTTCTGGCCACCAACAAAGTCCTGAAGATAAAGGTGAATGAGAATTCGTGTTTCTTAAAATACATGAAGAATCAATACCATGGCTCAAGCTTACCTCGGCAACTTGCAGGCAGCCTTCTGTCCTCTACTTGTGTCACCGTCCAACCCATACAAAAACCTCACACCACAGTCTAGTATATAGCACTTGTTGTTTTCCAGTAGGCCTTTTGATAATTCCCCTCCTATTATCTTCACCTCACCATCAGTTATGCTACAGAAACCAGTGAATACTAATTAGCAATTTATAAGACATATACCTCCAAATACAATGGTAACAGAAATAATATTCAACCAAAAAGTTTTCAACTGCCTACTTACAATAGTAATCTGGTTGCAATCACTAAGAAACTAAATTATAGTTACCAACATATAAAAAGATGCATAGTATTTGCATCTTAATCTAGCAAAACTTTAAAGGCACAATCTTCATTCGCCACTAGTAAAAATAAACATAAAATACCTATAAAGTTTAGCAGGAGTAGTCTCGGGAATAACATCATCTTCATTGTGAACTTTCTTTCCTAGTGAAACAACCACCAAACAGAACCCAAAACTCACCAGAGTCGGACCCAGGTCCATTTCCATCATCTGCAGAATGATTACATAATGTATATTCAAATATACTAGCCTCAGAGTAAAATAAATAAACCTTTCACGCAATTCAATTAGTACTCATAGATTAGTAGGAAAGTGGAAAAAACAGCATTGTTGATCCGGTAAATGCATAAACCCTTACCAACAACTGCAACATTGCACGTTCCATCATGATACTTTTCCTTTAAGAACTGGATAACCTCTAATGCCTTTGCTCTTTCCTGAATATTAGAGTTTGCACCATTGAACTGAAAATCTTATTCTGTGTGTCCAGGATAATACATCATCGTGATTCAATGAAGATCGAGCAAAAGGACCTGAAGGGCATAACACAAAATGGTATTCAGTTGATTCTCAATAGTCATTAAATACTATATAATTAGTTCAAGGAACTTTGTTTCTTCCTTCTTCTATCCTACTCATCAAACATATGTAGTGAACATCGGATACCTTCTTCAATCTAACAAACTCGCTTTCCTTTGCAGACATATAAACTGCCTTTCAAACTCTTCTTCTTCTGCCTTTTTAAATCCAGAAGCAACGCCGCCTTCTAATGGGATAATGCAAGGTTAAAGTATGACAAAAATTTGTCAGATTCATGGTCTTGAAGTTCCCTGCGCTGCACTGCACGCCCTCCTAGTACTGCATCCAGATCAATTGTTTTGATCCAGCCTCATCCTGCAAGTGAGAAAATGATCTCGAAAGATGTCTTAATTCATTTGAAGGCACATTTAAATCCTGAACAAATTAAGAAGAGTAAAGTAGATGCAGTGAAAACACATGAGTAGTATCTTTACCAATCCAGAAGTGTATATCATATAGATATGAACCCTGCTAGATGTTGTCTACAAAAATAGCATATAAAAGAAGTGATTGAGACATTACAAAAAAAGCAGTAAATCACCTTGAATGATTTATCTTGGCCCATAATAAGTTAAAAAATCCATGTACTGCGGTGTGCGTCCACACAAAAATAGAGAAAACAAGAGAGAAACAGAATCTTCACCTGTAAGACAATATATGAATCCCCCATATAGAATTTTCCATAGTCAGACTTAGGCAACAGAACTGGCTGAAAATTCTCAATACGCCAGATTTCAGTCCCGCTATAAGATGTCAAATGCAACAGTCTTTATGCAAAAAACAAGTAGCATATATATTGATAGGGAAGCGGTGGCAGATTGATGAACGTTGCTCTTGTTGAAAAATCAAACCTAGAAAAATAAGATAAACAAAAGATAAAGATTAAGAATAGAGAAAATAACCAAGAAATCAAAGATCTCCCTTATGAAAGTGAACGGTAAAGATGATTGATGGCGTGGGATGTGGAAAATCGATGGATAATGTCCTATCGAGCCTCCTAGTCGCAATGAAAAGGCAAACACGATAATGACTCTAACCAACCCTCCTAATCGCGATGAAAAGCAAATTGGAGTGTGAAGATTAATCTCCCTCACAAGAACTTGAAAGAACTCCAGGAGAAGAAGCTTCGAAGGCACAAGGCAATCAGCACTTGCAAAAACAACTCTTGTTGTATTATTGATCAAAGAAATCTGATTTACAAAGTTGAATGAAGCCTCCTTTATATAGGGGCTGAATTCTAAAGGTCCTAAATAACTAAAGAATAAAATATTAATAACTAAACATGTTTTAACCCTAATTCCTAATAAAATAATAATAACTAAAAATATTGTTTTAACCCAACCTAATTCCTAATAAAATAATAAATCTGATCCTAAAAGATAATTAATCATCCTATATTAAATTATATTACAAATAATCATATAAATATTGAAAATTCGTAATATTTACAAAATAACGTATTAATCCCGTATAGGATTTCCTGCATGCACCGTCTTCAGTAAAATGACCATATCTTGAGTTCCCGATATCGGATTGATGCGGTTCAAGAACGTTTGGAAAGATAAGAGCAGCGGTTGTATCTCCAGAAGACATGTCGACCGATAACAACTGGATACCCTTCAAAAAGTTGTTGCAAATCTGCTGCTATTAGACCCTTCCGTGAATGCTTGAACTGCGCTTTGAAGCTTGTCTTTAAGAAGTTTGGTCCGGCCTCGTGTGATAGGGGCCAAGTGGTATAGTAAATTCATCATCCTTAGCTTTAGGGCATGTGGTGCATGTATCATCTCCCCCTTCCTTAAAAGGATTCGTCCTCGAATCTGAAATATCAAAAGGAGATAAGTCAGAAACATTAAAAGATGCACTCACGTTATACTCACGGGAAGATCAATGCGGTAGGCGTTGTCATTGATTCGTTCAAGAACTTGGAATGGGCCATCGCCTCGTGGGTCTAGCTTGGATTTCCTTTGTGTCGGGAACCTTTCTTTTCTTATGTGAACCCATACCCAATCTCCTGGTTCAAAGGTGACATGTCGTCGGCCCTTGTTAACTCGGTTTGCGATTGCCTCGTAGGTTTTCTCCATCTTGAGTTTGGCTTTGGCGTGAATGTCTTTGACAAGAGCAGCCTTCTTTCACCATCTAAACTGGCAACCTGATCTAAAGGTAGGGAATAAGATCCAAAGTAGTTAGTGGGTTAAAACCATAAACTATTTCGAATGGAGAATAACCTGTTGTGGAGTGAATGGATCGATTATAAGCAAACTCAACAAAAGGTAAACATTCTTCCCAATTACGGGTATTCTTACCTACCACAGTTCTTAGCAAAGATCCTAGAATCCGATTTATTACTTCGGTTTGTCCATCGGTTTTGAGGATGACAAGAAGTGGAATAGAGAAGTTTTGTGCCAATCTTACCCCATAATACCTTCCAAAAGTGGCTTATGAACTTAGTGTCACGATCGGACACAATGGTGCGAGGAATGCCATGAAGGCGGACTATTTCTCGAAAGAATAAAGCAATATGTGTTGCATCGTCCGTTTTATGGCAAGGAATGAAGTGTGCCATCTTTGAGAATCTGTCCACAACCACAAAAATACTATCTCGTCCTTTCTTAGTGCGGGTAAGCCAAGTATAAAATCCATCGATAATCGATCAAGGAGAAGAAGAAATTGGTAAAGGCGTATACAAATCATTAGGATTTACCTTTGACTTTGCTTGTTGGCACGTGATGCATGATGCACAAATCTTTTCCACTGTTTTACGCATGTGCAGCCAAAAGAAGTGTTCCATGACCATATCAAGTGTTTTGTGAATACCGAAGTGTCCCATAGTCCTCCGGCATGTGACTCGTGAACCAAGAATTCTCGCAAAGAGATTTGTGGTATACACAACCTGTTCATGGCGAAAAGAAAGCCATCTACAAGATAAACTTGTTAAAAGCACCTTTTACACATTGTTTATAAATCTCAGAAAATCTGGATCGTTAGGATAAAGTTCTTTGATATGTGCAAAACCCAGAACAGTAGCATGCATTCAAGTGATAAGTGTGTATCGTCGGGATAATGCATCAGCTACGATGTTATCTTCCCTTGTTTGTATTTGATGATGTAAGGAAAGATTCAATGAACTCAACCCATCGAGCATGTCGTTTGTTAACTTACCTTGTCCATTTAACCATTTGAGTGATTCATGGTCCGTGTGAATGACAAACTCTTTAGGGAGAAGATAGTGTTGCCACACTTCGAGTGCTCGGACGAGTGCAAAAAGTTCCTTGTCGTAGGTAGAGTAGTTCAATTGTGCACTTTTTAACTTCTCACTAAAGTAAGCGATAGGTTGTCTTTCTTGCATGGGGACGGCACCAATGCCTATGCCTGAAGCATCACATTCTAGCTCAAAGGTGTTAGAAAATTGGGAAGATGAAGAATAGGGGCAGAACATAACTTATCTTTAAGAAGTTCAAAGCTTTTTGTTGTAGTGGTCCCCATTTGAATTCAACTGACTTTTTGATGATCTCGGTTAATGGTGCAGCAATGGTTGAGAAATCTTTGACAAAGCGATGGTAGAAACTTGCCAAACCATGAAAAGATCTTACCTCGGTGATGGAAGTAGACGTGGGCCATTCTTGAATTGCCTTGACCTTATCTTTATCTACATGAATACCCTGTACACTAACTATAAAGCCTAAAAACATAAGCTTATCACTGCAAAACACACACTTATCCATGTTAGCATATAAATGTTCTCGTCGAAGAAATTCGAGAACCATTCGAACGTGAATGACATGAGAATCAAAAGAAGATGAGTATATAAGAATGTCATCAAGTAACGACAACAAATTTACCTATAAACTCCTTAAGAACGTGATTCATTAATCTCATGAAGGTGCTTGGAGCGTTTGTGAGTCCAAAGGGCATAACAAGCCATTCATACAAGCCGAACTTTGTCTTGAATGCTGTTTTCCATTCGTCACCTTCTTTCATTCGAATTTGATGGTAACCACTCTTCAAGTCAATTTTGGTGAAGATACTTGCACCATGTAGTTCATCCAACATATCATCTAGGCGTGGAATATGATGCCTATACTTGATTGTTATCCGATTGATAGGTCGACAATCTACACACATTCGAATGTGCCATCTTTCTTTGGAACTAGAATGACGGAACTGCACAAGGACTAAGACTCTCACGGATGTGTCCTTTTTGTAATAATGAATCTATTTGTCGTTCCAATTCCTTCGTTTCTTCAGGATTGCATCGGTAAGCGGGGCGGTTTGGTATGGTTGATCCAGGGATGAATTCGATTTGATGTTCGATTCCTCTTGTAGGTGGTAAACCATCCGGTGGGTTGCTTAAGACATCTTGAAACTCCTGTAATAGAGAAGAAAACACACTAGGCAAATCTGTGATGTTAGTGATAGTTGATAAAATGGAGTCCTTGAAATGGACTAGAATGCACGGCCTATTTTGAAAAAGGGTATCTCTTATGTCTTTTGCACTCGCATAAATGTTTTGAGACACTCTTTTATTTTCACATTGAGGTTCACTCACCACCCGTGGGTCATTTGTTTGGCTTTTATCGGTTGTGACCTCTTTTGCCTTTTGTTTCAAATTCCCTGTTTCCTTGAGAATTCGTTGTTGATCTATGAAATCTCTTTGGGGGGTAGGGGTTAAGTCGGAACGGTTTACCTTTTATTGGAATTGTGTAAATGTTCTTTCGACCATAATATGTGACGTCATTGTCGTATTGCCAAGGTCGTCCTAAGAGAATGTGGGATGCTTGCATCGGAATTACATCACCATACGTCGTCACAATACTTTCCCATCTTGATATTAACGAGGCATTGTTTAACCACCTTCATCTCGGCACTCTCATTAAGCCATTGTAAGCATAAGGTTTCGATGTCGTTGGCAAGAAAGTTTGAGTGATTCAACAACATTGGAGCTAATGACGTTGACACAACTACCATTATCAATGATGATGGAGAATGGTTGTTCCTTGATTAGGCAGCGTGTGCGGAAGATGTTGGAACGTTGTATGTCAGACTCGTCGGATGCTTGGATGTTCAATGTATGACGGATCACCAAGATTGTGCCATTGTACTTATCGCTTCCATAGTCATCACTGTCTTCTTTGGCTTCGGCATGTGCTGGAATGTCGGCGAGGTCGTCATCAGAGTCAGAATTGTAAGATCCATCACCTAGTATGGTTAAGGTCCTCGTGTTTGGACAATTGCGGCTGATATGGCCTCTTCCTAAGCATTTAAAACACTTGATGTCTCTTGCTCGGGTGTCGTCTTTAGGGGCTGGAAGTGTCTCATTCTTCGCTGGTCGTTGTTTTTCTTTGTCGAGTTTGTCATCTCTCGACTTTTTTTGAGAAGATGGAGTAGAAGATGAGGAAGGATTTGAAGTATTACCTTGGTAAGAGAATGAAGTACCTTGTAATGTTCTCTGAATCGGAATCTCCTTTGTATTTGTGCTTCGATTGTCATTGCTTTCTTTAGTGTATCTTCGAGGTTTTCGTACCCATGGAGATCAAGAAGATCAGTGATGTTTGAGTTTAAGCCAACGACGAATCTTGACATGGTGTCTTCTTCTTCTTCATGTTAGCCCTATTGAGTAAGGACTGCATCTCCTTGTAGTAATCTTCAACTGAACTTCTACCTTGTCGAAGTCGGTGTAGTCGTTGTTTAACTTCTCGTGTATAATGTGTCAGTAGAAATCGGTTCCTCATGGCATGTTTGAGTTCGGTCCAAGACTGATTGGTTGAATTTGGTAGTTGTCGATCTTTTTCCTTGTTTGCATCCACCAAGTGTGAGCATATCCTTCGAATTCCAAGGTGATGAGGGGAACTTGTTCAGCTTGGGGGCAGTCATGGTATGCGAACAAGAGATCAACTTTTCCTTCCCAATCGATGTACTTGTCTGGGTCGTAGTCTCCTTTAAAGACGGGATCGTGAACTTTGGTTTTGCAAAGAGTTCGGGTGTTTGAAAACGTGGTTGTGCTCGCCTGGGGGCCAAAAGTTCAGCATTGTTTGGCCTTGGATTCTGGTTTGGTTGATCCAGTTGTAGTTCTTGCCGTTCTCTCAAGGCATTGTTAAGTTGATCAAATTGAGTTGTGAGTCGTTCAAGTGTGGCTAAGATAGCCGTAAGTGTCTCATTGTTATTGTCGCCCATCCTGCAATTATAACACTCAAAGAAGATTTTAAAGTAGAATAAAATAAATAAATTCAACAAAGCAAGAAACCTCACAAGTCACTCCAAGAAAGTAACACAACGAGAGGCAAGTAAGCCGATCTTGTACTCTTTAAAACTCACTATACCAAGTAGTCTTTCACAGTTCGTATCGGAGTTTGATTACTAGCAAAGGCGATAAGAAAAACCTAAAAGTTCTAAGAGGCCAAACAAAAGTTAGACTCCAAGAGAACGCGAATGCAAAGAAGGAATAAGTATGCAAACTCTTTAGTCCTACTAACACAAAGAAGATAATGTGTTAGATAATGCAAAAGAACAATAACAAGGAAAAACAAAAGAACCTAAAGCACTAAGAGTCAAAGAAAAAGGGACCAAACCAGAAAACCTAGAAAACGCTGGATCAACTTGAGCAACGTTTTTGAGGGGGTTACCGGTGTCCAAAAATTCTGAAAAATTTCTTGAATGTCTTTCGATGCGTCAAGAAACCACCTGTAAAATTTCAGAACCAAATACCTTCAGTAGTATCCAGTAGACTCTGTTGAACGGTGAGTCTTCAAACAATCTGTTTTCTTGATCACTTTTTTTCGAAGTTGTTCTTGATCTCCAAAAATTCTGATATTTTGTGTGAATGATCTCCAATATATGAAGTTTCAATCTGGAAATTTTCACCACGAAATTCCTCCTGTAAAATTTTCAAGAAATTCGACAAGATTCTAAACCGAATCTGCCGATGAAACTTGAATGATGTATTTGAAGGCTCCAATGAACTCCGATTGGGGTGAAATTTGGACTGGGAATTACACTTAGAATGAATATAATATATGGATAAAATCAACCCTAAATACTTTCGTTTGCAATTTTTTTGAAATTTTGGCTTTTTTGGCTTTTTTTTGCCTTTTTTTTTGTTTTTTTGAAAAAAAATAGCAAACTAACAAGAAGGATTTAAATCTAAATTAAAATTAAATAAAAAGAACTTGAAACGCTGAATCGTTTGTGAACTAGCTCCGTTGGGGTACCTTGACGATTTTGTGTGCAAGAACAAGCAAGATTGCTTGTTTCTCTCCAAGAATCGGCCCAAATCTGATACCAATTGATAGGGAAGCGGTGGCGGATTGATGAACGTTGCTCTTGTTGAAGAATCAAACCTAGAAAAGCTCTAGACTCGATGAAGAACAATAAGGAATGAATGAGGAAGGTGACGGCAATAGCTAGGGTTCTTTAGGGTTTCTTTTAGTGCTAGAAACAAGAAAAGAAACAAGATTAAAAATAAGATAAACAAAAGATAAAGGAATTAAGAATAGAGAAAATAACCAAGAAATCAAAGATCTCCCTTATGAAAGTGAACGGTAAAGATGATTGATGGCGTGGATGAATGTGGAAAATCGATGGATAATGTCCTATCGAGCCCTCCTAGTCGTAATGAAAAGGCAAACACGATAATATGGCTCTAACCAACCCTCCTAATCGCGATGAAAAGGCAAATTGGAGTGTGAAGATTAATCTCCCTCACAAGAACTTGAAAGAACTCCAGGAGAAGAAGCTTCGAAGGCACAAGGCAATCAGCACTTGCAAAAACAAACTCTTGTTGTATTATTGATCAAAGAAATCTGATTTACAAAGTTGAATGAAGCCTCCTTTATATAGGGGTTGAATTCTAAAGGTCTTAAATAACTAAAGAATAAAATATTAATAAACTAAACATGTTTTAACCTTAATTCCTAATAAAATAATAATAACTAAAAATATTGTTTTAACCCAACCTTAATTCCTAATAAAATAATAAATCTGATCCTAAAAAGATAATTAATCATCCTATATTAAATTATATTACAAATAATCAATATAAATATTGAAAATTCGTAATATTTACAAAATAACGTATTAATCCCGTATAGGATTTCCTGCATGCACCGTCTTCAGTAAAATGACCATATCTTGAGTTCCCGATATCGGATTGATGCGATTCAAGAACCGTTGGAAAGATAAGAGACAGACGGTTGTATCTCCAGAAGACATGTCGACCGGATAACAACTGGATCCCCTTCAAAAAGTTGTTGCAAATCTGCTGCTATTAGACCCTTCCGGATGAATGCTTGAACTGCGCTTTGAAGCTTGTCTTTAAGAAGTTTGGTCCGGCCTCATGTGATAGGGCCAAGTGGTATAGTAAATTCATCATTTTTAGCTTTAGGGCATGTGGTGCATGTAGCATATATGTATATGGAACATAAGCACACGTCTAAAAAGAAAACAAAAAGCATATGTCATTATTTGTTTTCGTGGTGGTGTTGGAAAAATATTGATTCTGATCTCTCTTATCAGAAGTTAAGTTTAAATAAATATATATGCTCTTATATAAAGAAAAAGTTAAAAAACTCAAGTACATAAATTCAAAACTCATTATATGCCTTTCATCTTAAGGATACGGTTTTTGACCCACTCCCTCCTTGAAATGCAGGATCCAGAACTTTTGCTGGGCTAGACATTTCTCAGAGTTCTTTATTGATGTTTTATCAAGCAAAAATATAACAGATCAACTTGAGAATCCAACCTGCACGAATCAGGAAGTTGCACAAAACTTACTGGAGAAATACATGTATTTTATTATGCACTCACAATTTAAGCCACAGTACAAAATATTTTTTAAAAAAAGAAAAAAAATAACCCTTTTAATCAATACTTGCAATAATTTTAGTCGATTAAAATTATGTTCCTATTTCACAGTGCACTAATAAGAAGAAAACAAAATAAAACAGTGCAATAATCACGACCATATTAGAAAAAAGAGTTTCTTGTTATAACAGAACCAATCAAAAAGAAGTCACAGCTTTCACAATATTCAGTAATAAGCCAATGCTGCGACACTATGTACTGTTAAAGATCCTACATTAAGAAATTTCAGAGAGTCTTTATGTGTCCAGCATGCAACCCAGATGACTTGACATGTATTTTTCTAAGTAAAACAATTCTAAATAACATCAACAATCTAATAGCTGAATCCTGTCTTACGACCTTCTTTCAAGGTATATCTTCTCCCCTCCATACATTAATGTCTGGAACTTGATCCACATCAGAAGGAAGAGACTAATGTCTTAAGAATGTATATCTACCTAACAAAACCAGATCTACTACAGTAATTACAGCTTTAATTTCTATTGACAGTATCCATACTAAGACTAAGACTTGGCTGAGCCTGGTCGCAAAATTGGTGATAAAAATAGAATAAGAATGACATCTACCATAAAATTAAATCTCCTTTATCGCATTTTATAGTCCGCACCAGTATATAAAAGATTAATAGCAACTTTTCAGGTTGTGTAAACATGAATGATGTGTTAAATGTATACATCACACATTGCTGAATTCAAAACATCAAGATAAAGTTCAAATAATTGACAGCGGATCTCCAACCAGCATTCCTATTTAAACTTAAAAAAGAAGAAGCATATTTCCATATGCACACATTTGACAACTTCACATGATATGAAATTTAATAATCTCATATTATTCTGGCCAAAAAAATTAAATAAGATAATCTGATTTTCTTTAAACCAATAATCCATAATTTTAATTATATTATAACAGAAGACCACAAATACTACACACTAAGTTCCAAACGTTTGCTTGCAGTTGTCGCGTGCTCTTAGGAGAATACCCTAATCAATCTTGCTCGAAACTTGACACAAAGATCAATCAACAATGAGAACTTTGAGGAAAGAAATGTATTTTTTGTTTGATCACACAAAAATCAGAAGGCTGCAAGGCAGCAACGGAATTTTAGCATAGTGCCATTGATGAGCAATCCAAGCAGCAATTAACATGATCAATCACGGGATCAAAAAGCAAGGAAAAACTGAATATGAAGAATTCAACAATTCAAACTTAAATTAAGATCTTTTAATCTATAATGTTTGGTTACAATAACAAATTAAACCATTTAAACAGCCCCTGCCGAAAAACTGAACTCTTATGTTCGCTCACACTTACTTTGTGAGAATAAAGCTTTAACAAGCAGATAATCAGATCAAAACAAGTTAAGGGAAAAGGGGGACAAAGCCATTAAAGTTTAGACAAGATCAAGCATACCCAGATCAACAGACATGAAAACAAACACGAAAAAATGGAGATCCAAATGAGTGATAACCCAACAAAGCAATGAGTTTGATGATACCAATAAGAGAAAAACAGAAACAGATGATGATGATGGCAAAAGGGTACCTTGAGAAAGATCTCTCTCCCTCTTGGAGTAAGCAGAGTAGGCAATAAAAAAATAAACGGAAGATGTTGGGAAAGAAAAAGTGAATTATTGCAACGGCATCGTCATGTGTTTTGCTGTGTTTCTCTCTCCAACTTTATATATTCATTTTTCTCAGACTTTTTTCGAGATTTGCAACTGAAATATGAATGAATGAATTGTGGTTGAAACTTGAAAACCGAAAGAAGAAGCAATAGAGAGAAAATTATAGTGATTGAAAGGAAAGGAAGGGTTTTTAGGTCAACAAAAATCGTAACTTGTAAAAATATCAGGTGACCATAGCATTGCTCAGATGGAACTTTTACTAAATTAGCATTACCTTCTTTTTTCCTATTTTCAGTCTTTTCTCTTCTTTTCTTTTCACCATAGTTCAAATATTAACAGATAACAAAATTTATGAAATGTATTAAAATTTTAATATTTATATCAAATATAATCATAGCAACACCATCTCAAATCGTATCAATTTGTAAGCCCTAACGTAATTCGCAATAATAATATACGTCAAATTAGATATTCACAGACATAGAACATACATGTTAAAAATATCATATCAAATTATAAGTCCTATCGTAATTTACAAACCGTATCACAAACACAATATATATCAAATATAATTATTCAACACTGTCTCAATTCATATCAAATTTTATTCCTTTAATCCATATAAAAGTTCATTTATCAATATCTCAATCCATATCAAAGTTCACTCATTGTCTAAATCCATTTCAAATATTGGGTATTAGTGCTCACTCCCATGTCCTCAATCCATAATCAAATATTGAATGCCCTTGTTATGATTATCAAAATGGTTAAAGATAAATAAATATGATCGAATGAAAAATTAGAATACCAAAATCTATATGAAAAACTTTAAAAGGAAAAAAAACATTAATAGATAAGAATAAATTTTCACTATGTCCAAAGATACAAGATCTATTCCAATTGTTCCTTTGCTTGTCCTACAGGCCTCACACTTTTACCATTGTTTTGATTATAACTTCATGTCTGATTCAAGAAGAAATTAGATCATAGCTCTAACGACCTTAATAATCATGCACCATACATGACCATAAAAATACAATACACACAAGGTCACACATAATAATATTGCCTATAAGGCCAGACATCATATCATCACCACAAAATTTATAGAATAGACATATGCATTAATCATAGATAGTCAACATAAGTTATCACATACTTAAGCATCATCTAATGTTTTTATATTAAGGTAACCCATTAGTTGTATGGATGTTTTAACAATTTTCCAAAGTCTAGAGCCTTAAAACTAATCATTAAATTTAAGGGGTGTTTTGATAATTTTATAAGTTAAGGGTAATTTAATAATTCCACAACTTCAGAGAACATTAATCATTTTAGCATATAAGGTGACTAGTCTTTTAAACATATGAAGATGTTTTAATCATTTTAACAGAGAGACATTTCGATCATTTTAATACACATAAACATCTTAATCATTCTAGGCATACAAGGTCTTTTAGTCTTTTCCAATCACTTAAGACTATCAAATTTGTTTGTTCATATTTCTCTGTTTATATCAAACGGTTTCAAATTTAATTATTAATTTATAAATATCACATTAAATTAATTTTTTTAAATAAAAAGTGTACAACTTCTTTTAATGATAAATAAAATTGTAAAACTTAAGAGAAATCAAATATGGTGAGGGACATTAAAAAAAGTCACAATAACACAAAAATCTGAAGAAAAAGTCATATTAGATGACAAGTTTGACCCCAGTCTAAAAATAAATAAAAAGAGTCTGTTTGTTCAGTTGTAATTGGTTTTCTGGAAATTGAATTCTGAAAAATAAATTACTGAAATTTGAATTCTGGAAAATAAATTACTGAAATTTGAATTATGGAAAATGAATTACATTTCTGGAAAACGTTTTCCGAAAATATTTTTCGTAAAATGAATTATATTTTTCTAAAAAACATCTAGAAAACGTTTTACGGTGTTTGGAAAATATTGTTTAAACCTCTTTTCCACTAATTGATAATTTTTTTTAAAATTATTTATTACAAATATTAAATACAATAAATAATATTATTTATCATAAAACTTAATATTATTATTTTTAAAATATTAAATAATTTATTTATTATTAAATATTATTTTTATAATTTTATTAATAAAAATAAAAATATTTGTATATTTTATTGAAATAAAATATTATAAATTATATTAATTATTTATTAAAGTAATAGTGTTATATTATATTTTAAAAATATTAATTAGTATATTTTAAATATCTTTATTAAAATATTATTAGATTTTTATATTAATATTAAATATATAAATAATATTATTCATTACTAATAATATTATTTCTATGAAACTAATAAATAATATAAATTTTATTAATAATTTATTATATATTATTAAAATAAAAATATAATATATTATATTATTATAATATAATTGATTATTTTATTATAATATTAAAAATATAATATTATATTATTAGAAATATAATAAATATATTTTAATAATATTTTGATTAAAATGATATTAAATATTTTATTAATATTAAATTCATAAAATAAAATTGTTTTGAGTATTTATTCTTTGAAGTGAAAAGTTCGGAAAATGACTTACGGAAAATCAGACTGTAAGTCATTTTCCAGAAAACACAAAGGAAATTCTATTGACCAGAAAAATGTTTTACGTTGACCAATCAGTTTTCCTCCAACCAAATACTGAAAATATTTTCCGAAAAACAAATTACGTGAAATAAACACGAGATTTCGGGGAAAACCAATTCCGTAATTGGTTTCCCCAAACAAACAGACCCTAAATATGAATAAAAAAAAGCCAACTCATACAAGACCTTTTAAAAAGACAACCCATACCATTAAACTTGTTGGTAATCTTTGTTTTGAACCATTACCCTTTTAGATCATTATCACATGATGTATCATCATGTAGCAATGTAAACATTATTGTTGGATGCATAGTTGCTATGTTGCATTCACGGTTTTCATAGTCGGACACTGGTAGGGAGCTTATAAATCGGTTAAGAGTAAATTAGTTTATTAGAATGAATTAATTCTATTAATTACTTAGTTTTTGCAATAAATTATAAAAATATTTTCAAATGTATTTAGATTCTCATTTATAATTCCGTTTTGTATTCAGCTATGATCTGTTTACTTCCATTCAATCAAAATTTATGCAAAAGTTAAGTTATCTAGCTCGTCCGAGTTATATTTAATTTATATATTTATATATTTTTAATTTTTTTTAATATATAATTATTAATGTTGAATTTGCTTTTAGGTTTGAAAATATCATCCTTTATAATTGCTCATACCTACTTCTTTTTTTATAAAAAAATAGAGTTGTATCAAATCGTTTTGAGTTAGATACGACCGAACACCTATAAAGTTATCATCTTATATAAAAGAAACGATAACTTTAAATGTCTACATCTAAATTCAGAACCAAAGTTAAGTTCAATAGTCAATTATTCAAATTAAAACATCCTAATTTCAACTAAAAATTGATGTCATATTTAAAAATATATATTGTCTTGAGTTATTTTTTTTTAAAAGAACTTCAATATAATATAAGTATTTCCGGGTTAAGGGCTTTAGACCCAAGTGATGGGGTTTGGGCTTGTTTGATGCAGGCTTGAGTTTTGAGTTTGATTTAAATATGAGCCCATTAGTGTTTTATGGTTGAATAATGCAGTTTTCTTGAGGTACTCAGGTGAAATAAAAAATGTATTTTAAAGATGTTTGTTTTAATAAATATGATGTTGGAATTTCAACATAGTTTGCAGCTAAGGGGAAAAAAGAGACATTGCAACTCTTTAAATGAGACCCTTGGAGGGAATCTCCAATCAGTAAAAGAATCATACAAAGATAAACCATCTACAGAGAAGTTCCCTTCCCCTGAAAAGAATTAAGGAACCCCCTCCCCCCCCCCCCCAAAAAAAAAAAAACAAACAAAAAATGAAAACATTTGCTTGGTATTACAGTTACAAAAGTGGTCCTTATCCAACCATAGTTCTTTGGTGTCAAACAAATTTGTCACCTTCAAACTAATTCCATTAGGAGGGGATCACCTTCTGCCATTATTCTTATTAGCTTTATGAATTCCTCTTCACTCGACACCTTCCATGGATGAACTGCCGGTGCTTGTGCCCAATAATGCTTTGAGGAAGAATTAGTTAAAGGTAGATCTTGCTTATACACCATTGTACTAAGCACCGAATCGAAATTCCTGGGTGAATCCATTGACAGAAAGAACATGGGTACAGCAACCTTTTGATGGATATCTAATTGGCCCACCAGGCTAACCAGATCAACAAAGTCTGCCACAAAGTGCCGAGGAACGTAGAATATCTCAGAACTGCAAATTATGAGGCTCTGCTCATTCTTCACAACTTCTTTATAGTTTACTTGTAAGTGAACTGGCATTGCACTAACAACTTTGTTTACCATGTCTGCTTGCTTTGAATACCAATCCGAATTTTCTTTGGTTGTCACGGTTGACCAAGACATGGATACCTAAATCACATCAAATTGCCAAGACAAATAATAACGACTCATTAGTTACTCATGATCAGCAATTTTATAACAATTGAAACTGCTTCCTTCATTAAACGGCAAATCTATTGAAAAACACAAATACCTACCAGAACAATATATAATCATTTATAAATGGTAAAAAGAAACAGATAAAAGCCAAAGTCCTAGGGAAAAATTACAAATAAAAATTAGTTTTAAATATTTAAAAGAACATATCAAGAGTAGGCACCAAAGAAATAAAATGCTAACCGAGAAGGCTTGGGTACCTTATCTGTAATCCATAGCTTAGTCTTGTCTGCCTGTAGTAGATTCCAGTAATTAAGAACGGTATCATCTTCAACAAATAAAAAGCCATCTGCACTAGGGAACCGATTAAATATCTTGGGTAGCTGCCTGTAAAATATGTTATGAGATAATTAGTAAACATGACAGATGCCTGGTAAAATAGGTATGGCTTCACTTAAGAGCTAAGTTTCCATGATTATCAATTATTAATTGACCATTTAACAACAATTTGCTGCCTTTAGGAAGTGTTAGTTCAGAAGAAAGGAACACACCAACAACCTAATTGACTTAATGCCAAACCTAACTTACATGTCAGCATAATAGGAAAGAAAAGGCAATTATGGTGTAATTTATATTAGAAAGATCCAT